GCGAGCGTCTAAAGTTCATGTAGATGCTAGCGTATTGAAGGAGCTGCAGCAATTGGAGAATCTACAAGAGCTAGCCATAACTCTATCCGCGGAGTTAATTAGTTTGGATCAAAGGTTGGCGAAGGTAATCTCTTTTCTGGGTATTGAGGGGTTTCTTCAAAAGCCATTCGATTTATCATTCCTCGCGAGTATGGAGAATCTTAGTTCCCTATTTGTGAAAAATAGTTATTTCTCGGAGATAAAGTGCAGAGAAAGCGAGACAGAATCGTCTTATTTACGCATCAATCCGAAAATTCCATGCTTTACCAATCTCTCAACTCTGTTTATAAGTAAGTGCCATAGCATGAAGGATCTGACTTGGATATTGTTTGCTCCAAATCTTGTCTTCCTACAAATTGGAAAGTCAAGAGAAGTGGGAGAAATAATAAACAAAGAGAAAGCAACCAATCTTACAAGTATTACACCATTTCTGAAACTAGAAGAGTTGATTTTGTATAATTTGCCGAAGCTGGAGAGTATCTACTGGAGTCCTCTCCCCTTTCCGCTTTTGTTGAGAATACTTGTTAAAGACTGTCCAATGCTGAGAAAGCTTCCATTTAATGCTACAAGTGTCCCACTAGTTGAAGAATTTCAAATACGTATGGATCCTCCAGAACAGGGAAATGAGCTTGAATGGGAGGACGAAGATACCAAAAATCGATTCTTGCCTTCAATCAAACCGGTAATCATTTCTTTTAATCTCTTATGCTTGAGTTATTTGTATTTCTTGCTATTGTTTCTTTCAAGGTTAGCATGAGATATGATCCTTCTGCAAAATGGATCACACAATAGAATATACTGTGCCTCTCAATTTCAATGCATTTTTACTAACATTGTTTCATTTTTTCTTCTATAGCGGAGGTACGACTAAAGATCCATTACTCATGAATGGGATTCCTCACTGTCCAAAATCAGAATCCACGCTTCTTCTTCTTTTTTTGCTTTCCCTATCTTCTTGTAGTATGGTGTGTTGTTCATTTGGATTGTATAAAACTGATTTGCATTCTGATACTTTTCTATATGAAGTTAATTTTTAGAAAAAGGCTGGTTTACGTTTAAAAGAAAAGAAAAAAACACGTTTACTTCTGTGAATTAATTAAACGGTTTTTGCTCAAAACATTTACCTATCTATCAAATGTTGTGCTATTTTTTTACCAATTAATATTTTCTTTTGAAATTGTTTGCTATATAAACATTTTTCCATATATTCTATCATATAGAGTTAAAAATATGTAAGAGCCACACATGTAGTTTTGATTACTAACTTGATTTCAATAGGTGTTAGAAGATAAATTAAGATTTTGATAGATAATAATTTGAACTAATATATCACCCTCTCTATTTCTTTTTTATTAGAAAATATGCACAAAATAACCAAATTTTTGAGGATAATTAACAAAATAGTCATGCTACATAACTTGTCGGTAACATATTAGAGAACACGTGTAATAACGTAAATGTCTTTTGTAACATGTTTTTTCTCTGATTACATGTGATAGCATAATATATTTTTTATTATATTATTTTTTCGTATTGCACGTTATTTATAAAGTGCATTCTTGGGAAAAAATAACATTCTATTCAGTTTAATATCACATGTTATTTTTCATATTACACGTTTTTTTATTAAGATCACATGTGATTTCTTTAACAAAATATTATGTTCAGGTTAAATTTATCCATAACAATGTTTTTTATTACAAACACACTATGTACAATGTTTTTCCTTAAAAAATCACTATATTTTTTTAAATATCATGTCTTTTACTTAAATATAACATATAAAATTTAAATGTTACATGTTATTTTGCAAAATCTCACGAAACTGTGCTTATTGTTGATCTTGCGACAAGCAAAATATGGTTTTGTTATTTCACCTTTTTTACAACGTGTGTCCGTTACTATTTTGCAACAAAAAAAAATTCTCTGCTATTTGCCTTAACTTTTGTGTTTTATTTGACTATTTTTTAAAATTACCATTTTTTTATTGTTTATTTTTACTTTTAATACCCTATCTAAAAAGGTTTCCTAATAGCTTCAAATATCACTACTACAAAAATTGCTTATTTTCAAATAAGATTCTTATTAAGATTTTATTTTTCTTATTGTTCAAACTTATAAAAAATGTTTAGAATAAACCGCTCTTAAAAAGCAAAATAAAATCTAAACTTACCCATTGAGAATTAAGATGAGAACAAATAAATTATAGACAAGATTCTACCCAAAAAAATCACTTCAACATGAGCATGATATGAGGTAAGGCTGGTATGAGAAGCAAAGCGAAAACGACTATGAAGAGAAGAATGGCATAACAAGTCCATTTCCTCGAGCTCTTTTGGTATTCTCTTGCATCTTGAAGCTGGTCTGTCCCTCTTCTCACGAACGAGCTCGCCTTCGAGACGTGGCTTTCTATGTCATTTAGTTGCTGACCTTGAGATTCCACCAGAGCCGCCATGTCTAAGAACACTTGGTGAAGCTCTATAAGATTCTTCTCTATCTCTTTTACCGCGTCGTGTCTCTGGAATCTCTGATATAGTGTCTAATATTTGGCCTCTCCCTTGTTCTTGTATTGCTTTCTGAAGAAAATTCTCGCTTTCACCACTCGAAATCAAGTTCTCAATCGTCTGTTCGTCTGCCTGTTCTCCGGTTATCGTGAAATATCTGCAACAATTCCAATTTTGTTACGTCAACAAATCAAACTTCTTTAGTAAGGAGAAAAAAACAGAGCACTAATGTGTCCTTCAAGAAGCAAGGAAAATTGAGAAAGTTTGTATTCACCTGCGTTCTACGGTTTCTTTATACTCAGCATTCATCCGCGCACGCAGACCTTGAAAACTATCCATCAAGTCCTTAAGCTTTTTCCCGAGTCCACTAACAACAGACGTCCTGGTCCTATCGGTGGAAGAGCCAGGGCCACAACCAGAGACATTACGGCTATTAGCATTTGCTTTTTCAAGCGCCTCAAGCTTTTGTTTGATCATCTTGACTCTCTTGAGGACCTGAGCGACATCTCCATCCATCTTTGCTCGGAGTTCCTTCACCTTCTTGGCATTGTGTACAGTTTTGCACTCTTCGTTAGAATCCTGAAGACTCTTGTAAAGAGTCTCTACGCCTTTCATGTCATCTTTGACATTTTCGACATCCTCAAAGAACTTATCGAGGTTCATCGTCTCTTTACCTGACTCAATATCATCCATTTGGGCCTGTTGCTTCAGGTCCGTGTACTTCTTGAACGAACTAGAGAATAAATCATTCATTTTTTCCTTCTTGCTTTTAAAAAGATTCACCAAGTGTATGCAATTATATACAGAAACAAGTTCTTTCTGAAGATTATTTTGGGTTCAAGAGAATCTTGATGAAGATCATCATCATCATCCTCTGCCTGTTAGGGGGAAGAAGATGGGAAGATTTTTTTTGCCTTTTTTGGAAGAGGTTCGCAACTAGTTTTGTTAGAAAAGTTTGTTTTGTTTTTGTTTGGAGAAGAGAGACTACCAGTTTTGGGAATCACCCCAAATTAGCCGATGACAAATCTTTTGTTAACCAAATTAGCAAATGTGCTAAGAATAGTTTTGTGAAATAAACAAAACAAGCCATTTTTACTTGGACTATGATTACAACCCAAAACCCTATATAGTAGAAACATTCACCTCAATCGCTTCGCTTTATCGAGGATGTTGGTATGCCCTGTGAACTGAAACCAACAGAGACAAGTCAGTGTAGAAATACTCGGATCAATCCAATACAAGTTCCAAAAGTTCATATATGATGCAAAGTTGAAGTCATTCTTAAAAGCTAAAACCCTTGCAAAATCAAGAAATCTTTAGCTTACGAAACCTCCAATCTCTTCTTGTGTTTTAGCCCAAGTAACATATTCTTAATAATACTCAAAATCACATTCTCTCTCAGAAGGTCTGAACCAAAGCCTGGTTTACTACTCAAAAGCAGCAAAAATGTTTTTTCATGTAAACACCAAAACCAATATCTCTCCACAAGATTCTAAAGCCTGTATCACTCATACACAGATCTCATCTAAACTTCACAACAACACTCTAGATGTGAAAATAGAGACATCTACACACAAAAACAACCATCATATCTTCAACTTTGTAATACCAAATGATCCAGTTTTTCCTTTGAATTTGAAGAACATTCATTTGTTCCCGTTACTTACCTAAGCGAAATTCGAACAAAGGCCATCACTTGGCAAGATTTGAATCGAACATAAGATCATTGATTCTTGTAATATCAATGTCAGAGATTGGATCTATTGGCCTGTCTTCCCCATTCTTCATCAAAGGAAGAAACTTCACATCTTCTCTGCTGTACTCATCTATCATAACAAGCAACATAACCGAACAACTCAATCAAACTCCGAAAGTCTAACAAAACTGAAATGAGAATCAGTAACTCACCAAACAAAGTATTGAGAGAGGTTGGTTTTGAAGTAGACATGAAGTTGAGACCAATGTAAAACACCAAAGCTATTAACAGAGTCACCATCGAATACAACGGCATCGCCATGGCCCAGTACTTGCTCGGGTAATAATAAATGCCTATGGACTCTAAGAATTTATCTGGTACATATCCCCAAATCAAGAAGATCACAGTGGCAACAACAATCGAAATGGATCCTACAAAACCATAAACCTCGGAAGTTTTTGGTCCGTGTACTTCTTGATTCAAGCTTAACATTCTTCTCGGACTACACTTGCAAAATCGTTGAGAAATTGCAGAAGACAAATGATAAGCGATGTGTTTTTTCTTAAGAAAATACCAATTTGAAGGACGGGACTTGCAAATACTCGAAAACTCACAATAAGCGAATCTTTCAATTAATCAGGAAGATGCGAATATGAAACCCTAAATTCCACTAATGGCCTCAAAATCTTCGAAATTCATTTCACTTATTTTGCAAAAATCAGAAATTTTTTGGGAACTAGGGATGATTGGGGGATGGGTGTAGGGAGGCCCGCACGAGGTGAGTTCTGCAAAAGTAAGCAGCGTCAACACATCGGCCAGCCTATAACCCCTCCATAAATTATTGCGCCACTTTTGTGTTTTACGATTAGCGCTGCGACCGGTTCTCACCGGACGCTTTGTTTTCCTTACTCATTAGTTTAAGGCGAGTTTTTCAGAAGATGTCCATCACTTTCTTATAGTAGTCTCGATAGGTCTCCAACGAGTTATAATTCCGATGTGGGACAAAAATAATACGTACGATGACGAGGCTCGTTGAATGAAAGCTAACCTAATAACTAATGAAAGCCCAATAATTAATTCAAGGCCCATTTTCAATTTTCTTGCAAACATGAGTCTATTTAACATAATGCCCAAAGATTTTGCAATTGTCGTGGTACTAATATGCTAATTTCGACATGGGATAACACACGATAAACTTCATTTATTTATTTACCATTTTTTTATTTTTTTATTTTATATCCCTAACAACGAGTATAATAACAATATATTTGAGATCTATATAAAGTTGTGTATCTCTTATGAAATTTTATTTTATTTTAGGAAAAGGTAAACTAATGTGGGTTAAATTCTAGTAAATTGACCAATTAATTTAACTTTCTTAACATTATCTATAATGTAATAATACATTTTCAAGGTTACTGATAAGTGATTCACCTAATTGCATTCGTAGAATTCCTACATCTCAGTGATGATGGACCCCAATGAGATGTAGATGAGATGGACACAAAAAAAAAATGGGCTCTAAAGATCCCAGCTTATAAAATTCTGATTAAACAATAATCACAATTATGGAAATTTTCCAATAGTGACATAGAATCATATACAAATAGGGTTAGTGTGTAACTGGTGGAGTCATTATGAACATTGTATCCAATATTTCAGTGCGAGAAAAAAAAATGACAACACACAAAATTTTAGGCCATTTCAAGAATACAAAATCAGGAACAGGTCATAGAATTAGGCATTAGAACCAGCTAATAAACTTCAAAAAATATAATCTCACTTCAATGAGGTAAAAGTCAACTTTTATTCCCTCTCTATCTGTCTCTCTATCTCTCGTGCACACAACTTTTAGAAAGATTGTCTCGCAAGTCACAATATTCCTAAGTTGACAATGAAAGGAATCCCAAGTTCGTCAAACCAGATCCTAAACCAAGATCTTGTTGAGGTATGCTATTTGTGATGATCATGTTTATAATGAATTTGGAAACTTTGGTCTTGAGAGAGTTTGTTCCGCTTTTGAAGCTTGATGTGCCGTAAGATGATAATTTTGCGTATATAAATTTGAGGAATGAAAACTCTAAGAGACTTACAGGATCAATCATTTGAGCTGGAAGATTGGCTTCCAATTACAGCATCACGAAATGCTAATTGGTACTATTCAGCTTTCCACAACGTCACTGCCATAGTTGGTGCTGGAGTTCTTGGTCTCCCTTACGCCATGTCAGAACTTGGATGGTATATATCTTTTTCCTGAGAATTATATTTTACGAGTCTAGAGATATAATTTTTTTTTTTTTTCCAGGGGACCTGGAGTTGTGGGGTTGATCCTGTCATGGGTCATAACGTTATACACGTTCTGGCAAATGATTGAGATGCACGAAATGTTTGAAGGGAAACGGTTTGATAGGTACCACGAGCTGGGACAAGCAGCCTTTGGCAAAAAGCTTGGTTTGTACATCGTCGTGCCGCTTCAACTTCTTGTTGAGACCAGTGCTTGCATAGTGTATATGGTGACAGGAGGTGAATCACTGAAAAAGATTCATCAACTTTCTGTGGGAGATTACGAATGCAAAAAGTTGAAAATTCAACACTTCATTTTGATCTTTGCCTCTTCACAGTTTGTGCTTTCCCTTCTTAAAAATTTCAACTCCATTTCCGGTGTCTCTTTGGTAGCTGCAGTCATGTCTATGAGGTAAGTGAATCTCCTCCTCTTTGTGCTTGTGCTTTAGATTAACCTAGAGTAACATGTGGTGAGTAATCCAGCCTTAGAACTAGAGAATCGATTAGTTTATAGCTTCCTCTTAAGCCAAGTCTCTCTTATAGAATTAGGTTAGTTGTTGGAAGTTATTTCTTTCATTAAGAAGAAGAGACCTTATATAGGCCACGATACATTGCATTAAAAGAAATCTTAATATCAAGGATCAATCAAGATCAATCACAATTCTACTTATGTAAACTATATATTCTGTAATTAGAAGTCTCTAGAATATCTAGTCTGTATATAAACAATGTAAATCATCTCAATACAAAACATCCAATTCTATATTCTCTATATGGTATCAGAGCATCATCGATACCTAAAAACCTAAAAACAGCCGCCTCTCTCCTTTCTTTCTTCTTCCCCTCCGTTGATTTTTTATTCCTCTGTTTTTCAAACTTCAACCATGTCGAATGTTTCTTCTGAAACCGTCAACCTCAACAACACCTCCATTGTTCACATGAACATGTCGAATGTGACAAAACTTACGGCCTCCAATTACATAATGTGGAGCCGCCAAGTCCACGCTCTCCTTCACGGCTACGGTCTCACTCAATACCTTGATGCGACAAAAGCTGCTCCAGCTCGTGAGATTACCGTCAACGACGTTGCCTCTGTGAATCCTGAGTATGAAGCCTGGAGTAGACAAGATCAATTGATCTTCAGTGCTCTCATCGGCACTCTCTCTCTCACCGTCCAACCAACGGTGTCCCGCGCCGCTACCTCTGCTGATGTTTGGGCCACTCTTGCTGGTACCTATGCCAAACCAAGTCGTGGCCATATCAAACAGCTCCAACACCAAATCAAACAATGGAAGAAAGACACCCGCACCATCGACGAGTACGTTCAAGGCTTTATCAATCGATTTGATCAGTTGGCATTAATTGGCAAAATCATTGACCATGAAGATCAAGTTGATTACATTCTCGGGGGTCTGCCAGAAGACTACAAACCCATTGTTGATCAGATGGAAGGACGTGACACACCACCAAGCCTCAGCGAAATTCATGAGAAGCTCCTCAACCATGAAGCAAAACTCATCACCTTCGCTGCATTTGCCAATGTTCCTATCACCGCAAACTACGCTAATAGCCGGAACCAGAATCGCTCCTCATCCAAGCCTGCTGCAAATCAAACTCAACCATGGAAACAACAAGCTGCTCGTGGTCAAGACACACGGACTTCACGACCTTACCTTGGTAAGTGTCAAATCTGTGGAGTTCAAGGTCACTCCGCAAAACGGTGTAACCAACTGCAGTCATTCGCTTCTCAACCATCACCAACTCAAGGCTTGCTACCAACACCACCATATCCTCCATCCAAATGGTTTCCCAGAGCCAATCTAGCCACCACTACACCTCCGGCTCTCAGCTACAATCCTTGGGTTCTCGATTCAGGTTCCACACATCACATCACAACCGATCTCAACAATCTCTCTCTTCATCAGCCTTACAATGGAGGAGAGGAGGTTTTGGTCGGAGATGGCTCCGGTTTAAGGATCACTCACACTGGTTCTGCTTCTTTACCCTCTTTCACCAAAGATTTAAAGCTTAATGATGTGCTTTATGTACCCTCAATACAGAAAAATCTTCTCTCTGTATATCGGCTTTGTAACGCTAACAAAGTTTCGGTTGAATTTTTCCCGGCTCATTTTCAGGTGAAGGATCTCAGAACGGGGGCCCAATTACTCCAAGGTCGAACTAACGCGGAGCTATACGAGTGGCCTATACACAATCCATCAGTCGCATCATATCTCACTTCCACCACCACAAAGCCTACTCTACAAGAGTGGCACTCTCGTCTAGGCCACCCCTCTCTTCGCATTCTAAAAACCATTGTTTCCCAATTTTCTTTACCGTTTTCGCAATCACAAATAAACTCTCTTTGCAGAGATTGTTCCATTAATAAAAGTCACAAATTACCTTTCTCTCAAACCTCCATTCTTTCTTCTCGTCCTCTTGAAATTTTGTTTAGTGATGTGTGGACATCTCCCATCATGTCAATTGACAATTATAAATATTATGTTATAATTGTTGATCATTACACACGCTACACTTGGTTCTATCCTCTCAAACTAAAGTCTCATGTCAAAGAAACATTTATCAAATTCAAAGCTCTAGTCGAAAATAGGTTTCAAACAAAAATTGGAACTTTATTTTCTGACAATGGTGGAGAATACATAGCTCTTCGGGAGTTTCTATCAACAAATGGCATAAGTCATCTCACTACTCCTCCACACACTCCAGAACACAATGGCCTCTCCGAAAGACGTCATCGACATATTGTCGAAACTGGGCTATCTCTCCTTACTCATGCCTCAATGCCAACCATTTATTGGTCCTATGCACTATCCACTGCCGTTTATCTCATCAATAGAATGCCGAGTCCCACACTCTCACTTCAGTCACCATACCAAAAGCTCTTTCAAACCAACCCTAACTACTCCAAACTCAAAACGTTTGGGTGTCTCTGCTACCCTTGGTTACGACCATACAACTCCACCAAACTTGAACGAAAGTCCTCTTCGTGCGTGTTTCTTGGGTATTCATTAACTCAAAGTGCGTACCTCTGCCTTCAACCACAAACTCAACGCATCTATGTCTCTCGCCATGTTCGCTTTGATGAAAACACGTTTCCGTTCTCCGCTCAATCATCTCCAAATAAATCTGTCTCAACCCCTCCTCATAATCTATCCGATGAGTCTGTTCCGACTGTGTATGTGCCACTTGTCCAGCCTCCGCCGCCTTCGCCACCGCATTCGCCACCGTTCTTTGGTCCTTCACCGTCACCGCCACTGGAAAACGCAACTGATTCTGCACCTACATCGTCGGATTCGTCAGGCCCTACATCAGACCAATCAACAAATGCAGAGGTCCAATCCGCTACACAAGCCCATCATAGTCCTATTCCCTCAAATTCGGCCCACACTAACTCTGGGTCAGCCCATGTTGGTGAAGCCCAAACACAGACGACGACCTCATCTACCTCCGCTGCTACCTCTGCCGCTGCTAACTCAACTTCGTCGTCCACCCCTACTTCGTCTACCCGGACAGTCCAACCAGTTCCGGTCGTTCCACCACCACATTCGATGGCAACCCGTTCTCAATCTGGGATTGTGAAGCCAAATCCCAAATACACCTTTGCTGCCACGCTTGCTGCGTCAGA